AACTGCATCAACTTATCACACACAAAAATGAGGTGAACCCCCCCTAACACCACCACCACCACCACCACCACAACCCATTTCCCTTGTAAAGTAGTGGTTCTAATCTAAATATACTCTTGGAATTTGTATAGGCTTACTACACTGCATCAATTACACAAATTAATGATTGATCAGTCTGGACAGCTGAGTGACAGCTATTACCAGTATGTCAACATTTCTCTGAACATAAAGTACAATTTGTGCATTACATGTACATTAATCTGTATGACAACTATCAGTGTGTTATCTTATTATTGCTAATTATATGAGCAGTCATGAACATGAAATGTGATACATACTTCTGCCCAGTCACACTTTCATGAGAAATCCAAAGATGATATGTTTTAATTGACGGGTGAACGCTGAGTAGAATTTTCTCAATGTCAGTGGCTCTTTTGAGTGACGTTTCTTGCAAACACTCTTCAGTGCAGTTTGGAATCTTCTCGCCATCTGAACAGAAGAAAAGAGAAATTCAAAATAGAACGTCAATAATTACATATACTCATATACTCCCTGACCAGTAACATAACAACATAATATTTTAAATTGGAATAAGATGTGACATGTGAGACATTTTTAACCAGCCTTACAATTACTCACTAATTAATTAATCCCTAATAAAGAATATTTATTTTGGTAGAAGATGCTGACCTCCAGCTCTACCCACTGCATTATTTTCAAAGCCATTTGAAGCCAACCAATGGTCATGAGCTTTGGTTAGTGACTGAAAAAACGAGGTTGTGGATACAGCATAAGCTGCTGGTCAGGATGCTTCTTGGGCGCCTTGCTTTAAGGTTCTTCAGGCACATCTGACTGGTAGGAGACCACAGGACAGACCAACACAATGCTATGGTCATTTTATATCTCATCTTGTTTGGGAAAGACTCACTGGTCAGTCATTGTAAATAAAACCTGTATTTTGGTACAGCAGTCTCTGTTCTGGACTAAAAGTAGATTCAAACTATTGCTTTAAGTAATATATTCAACACTCAGAAATCTGAGGAGAAACACGCTCCATCATTTTGAAAATGTGATGTTTCCTTGTTAGTTAGAGGTCAATATTAGTTTGTTGAAGTAGAGAAGAGTCTATGTGTCTATATTCCCAGTGTCCTAAATTCAATAATCCCCTACTCCTAACCCTAATTTTAGAACTGGGGAACATAAGATCCTTTGTCATGTTTCCATTAAATGCCATATAAATCTGAGGAACATGACTGAGGGAACACAGGAATAACCCCATCTGAAGGCTGATAGGTCTCAGTGGTGAATTTTATATTTAAAGTTTTGTTAAACTGTGATGTTGTTCATGATGTTGGCAGCTGAGATGGCTGGAAGAGAGACAACCCAAACAGATTTCTAATTCCAGCCCCACCCTTTCATTCTTGTTACAGCCAATTTTACACATACCCTTGACCTTACCGCCCTACCACACCACTGTGAAACTGTAGAGTCTGGTGTGTGTCAGTCAGGTATATGGAAGTTTTCTTTTTTGTTTGCTGCTGAATTTTGTTACAGCAATTACACTGCAGCCACAGATCCCAGGAATTAACTTGGTGTGTAAAATGGTTATGTGATTACTTACCTGGGAACCAGGCACATCGGTAAGCTTGAGTTTTATTTGCTCTGGCAGATGTATTTCCATCAGTACTGGATACGGTCAGGCCAATCACAACCGTTTATGTAATATGGGGTGGATTTTATACAATGAGTGTATAGAGGAGAGTGACCTTATTGGCCATTCAGGCATTTTTGTAAACAACCGATATGGCTGCCACGGATGCGGAAATACATTTGTTGAATCCACTATCACACCCGTATTAAACAAACTGGACTGTATATTTTCTCTAAAAGAAGAACAAACAAATGCACTTAAAGCTTTGAAAGGATTTGGTTCAATTTACTAACTACGCTACATCAGGCGAATCATTGCTCTGATTGGTTGTAGGTCTATCCAATTGCATCCAGAGGCACCCGTTGGAATGAACTGAGAGGTTCCATTCTAATTCGCAAATGCAAATTAGTCTGCAGTGCTGGGTTACCAACCTACAAAAATAAGAACTCAAACCTAAATACAAACCAAAATACATAAATTGTTTGCAAAATGTGTAGTTGTTAGGTCTGAACCAGAAAACATTTTACTTTACCT